CACCCCTGTCAGTTCCAGAACATTCCACCACGGCAGCAGGGAACCCTGTTCCCATCAGCAGCCTCCCTGACCCCCTCCGCCCAACGAGCCTCCAGCCCGGTCCCGGTCCCGGAGCACCAGCCTCAATCTGTGATTGAGGAAGGGGCGGGGCCGCTCAGCGGAGGGAGGGGCCAGGGGAGAGGCCCCACCAAGCCCCACCCCGTGGTGGTGCCCATCAGAGCTGCAGGGCCGGGCCTCACACACGTCAGGACGCAGGCGGAGCCTGGCCGGGTTCTGCTGTGGGGAGGCCATGGCAGAGAGGGGTCCCCAGGGAACGGTGCCCAGAGCACACTGAGGCCAGCCGGACGTGGGGGGTCCTGGGGACTGGGGATGGGGGTGCCTGGAAGCCACCACCAGGCTGGGAATTGAATTGTTCACATTCTTTGTGGCTGGGGTGAGGGATAAAGACATTTTTGTGCACAAGAGCAAAATTGTTGGCCTTGGAGTTTAATATTTTTTATCAGCTCCCGGCTCTCGGCGAGATGAAACGACCTGGCAGGGCAGACAGTGTGGGTCGGGCCACGCGGGTGTGGACGGTCCAGGGAAACCCTGCGGCCCTGCAGACCCCACCCTGGGTTGTGCTCGGAGGTCAAAGGTCATCCCGCGTCCAGGCCTGCGACCGGCTTCCCTGCCACTTGCTCCAAAGGCAGCCACGGGCCTGTTGGGACCAGGGGCTGCGGCTTCACTCCCTGCAGCCCGGAGCCAAGGTCCCTCCCCGCCCGGGCGCTCATGGGTCCGGGAGCCACCGAGGGGATCGACGTCTCGGACCACAGACCCCTGGCTCAGTTGGACGCTACAGTTCTTAAACTCTGGGCAGAAGACGGACTTGCTGCGGGACCCCAGGCGGGACAGTGGGCCGGGTGGACATCCTGACCCTCAGGGTGCGGGCTGGGCGTGCAGTCGGCCCTTCGCGCCTGCTGGCCCCGTCTGGTTTCCCCTCCTTGGACCGAGCGGACAGCAGCCTCGAGCCCTGCCGTCACGTGAGGAAAGCAGAGGCCAGGCACCTCGAGCCTTTGCTGGACAAGGGGTTTCTGTCTCCAGGACGCCCCTGTCCCGGGGCTCGCATCTGAGTGCAGAAACCGTAGCGGGGGCGCCCAGAGACGTGGAGGAAAGATAATTTCCTCCTTGTTCCTGAGCACGGTCCAGCCTTGTGGATGCAGGGGTTCTGGTGAAGCGTGAAGCCCCCTCCCTCTGGTAGCCCCGAGCCGAGTGCCCACATGAGCAGCTCTGGGGCTCAGCCCCTACATCCCATTCAAGTCCCAGCCCCAGTTCCTTTCTCCTCTCCTGCTTTTGCCTGGTACGGTTTGCACTGGGTTAAATGCCCCCTGAAGGGCAGGACGCCGAAGCCCCACGGAGCAGCAGCAGATCCAGCACGGACACGAGGGAGGGCACGTCCTCCCCACAGAGGCTCTAGCCCAGGGGTCGCAGAGACTCCTGTGATCAGACAGTATCTCCACCTTGACCGACATTTCTAGGAGCAACAAAGGTGGAAAGAATAAAACAAGTGAAGGTGTTTCCATGCTGCGATAGGGGGGCTGACCTGGCTGCGGGCAGAGGGCAAAGCCCACGGTCAGAACCACGGCCCTGCTGCCAGAGTTCGCTCCCAAGCAACACGGCTGCGGGCATTTCAATGTCACGTGTCTTTGCCCGCTGAACCAAAAACATCAAGAACATAAAACCAAGGATCCACTGGAAAGTCACCCAGAGAAGGAAAACTCCCTCCTAGAACCCCTCAGACTAGGCTGAGGTTTCCCTGGCTGGAAGGGACGCTTGTCCATCCAATACTGCGCGGCTTGGCTTGTGTCGTCTTTTGACGCATTCAGGGTGGGCATGCAGGGAAGGGCGGCCGGATGGGCAGGCGCTGGCCCCAACCAGGCCAGGCTGGGCGCCTCACATGCAGAACCCTAAGTGCCTGTAGGGTCCACGCAGGTGTCCCCAATAAATGTTGACAAAATCTGTGCCACTGAGCTCACATCTCCCAAGAGTCGCTGCGAGGGAGAAACGGGACTGGCAGGACCTTATCTGACGCAGCAAAATGAACAGTTGATGATGTGACGAGGCTGGGAAGGCAGGTTTGGTGTCAAGTCCCCACACAGGGAGCTCTTGGTGGATCTCACCTGGGTGAGCCTGAAACCAGGCCTGGGCTTTGCCGCACCGGCAGGCAGGCTGGAAGCGGGGAAGCCGGGATCTGGTCTCACCCCACTCTGGTCACCTGATGGTTTGTGATTTGTGCACTAAGATCCTAACATAATTCTCAACATAAGTAAGCCTCTCAGTGACTCTTAAGTTCTTAGATTTTATGGAAAGTCCCTAAATTGACAGCATAACTTTTGTAAAGTAATGAGTTTGCCTCTTTGCCTTTGTGAAGAGGACCGCCTGCATTTAGGGGGAGCGTGCAGGAGCTTGTCCTGTTACCCGGCTCCAGCTGCCGCCCGGGGGGCCCCTTCCTGCCCCTGCCTGGCACCCAGGCCGCAGGGATGCCTGCTGGGCCTCTAGCAGAGCTGAGGTCTCGAGTGGGCAGTAGAGGGTCCCCCGGAGGAAAGAGATCATCCTCCTTATGCAAAACAAGACCCATCTGGATCTTATGAGCCTCAGAAATAAGAACCGTCTTCCCTGTTCTCCGCATGATCCAGGCAGGGAACACAGTCACGTGAATTCTCCTTTCATACACCATTGTTTTACATGACGTTCAAACTAGGTTTCTTTGGTGAAAGATGGTCTCCCCAGGTCGCAGAGCTGAGTTGGACTCGTCCTGCAAGAGCCCGCTTTGGGCACAGGGACACTGGTCCTGTGGTCGCACTAGGCCCCCCCCCCCGCAGGCCCCAAATGCCTGCCACTGTGACGGCGAAGCCCCGAAAGGGAGAGCTTAGCCGCAGAGGCTACCGAGCAAAGCCGTGAGTCACTGGGACCCAGCCTAGTGAGTCTGGTGACTGGGCGGACAGGTGGAGGGGCAGCAAGACCATCGGGTCAAAATTGGGCTAAAAGGGAGACAAAGGGCGCTTCAAAAACTAACTTCATGCTGCTCCTCAGTGTGGCCACGGGCGCCATCTCAGCCGATGGAATTACTCCTCCTAAATTCTGCTAGTGTTGTTATTTTTTACGATATGCCCAAAGCAAGTCAAACAATTAGGGAGGATTGGCCACTTAAGACTTTGACCTAAAATTCCAAATCGACGAGGAGTGACCTCGCTGTGCTCGTGGCTTTTGGAGCTGAAGTTCCAGGACAACAGAAGGTGGGGCCACGTCCTGGCCACAGAGGCCACGGAGGCCAGGGCCGCGCTGGGCCCATCGGATCAGGCCAGCCTGGAAACACTGGGCTTGTGAGCCCACATTTAACAAAACACAGTCACATCTCGTTTTACAAATACTGCTTTTTTTTTTTTCTTTGGCGGTACGCGGGCCTCTCACTGCTGTGGCCTCTCCCGTTGCAGAGCACAGGCTCCGGACGCGCAGGCTCAGCGGCCATGGCTCATGGGCCCAGCCGCTCCGCGGCATGTGGGATCTTCCCGGACCGGGGCATGAACCCGTGTCCCCTGCATCGGCAGGCGGACTGTCAACCACTGCGCCACCAGGGAAGCCCCCACTGTTTTGGTATTTTTTAGGAATGAAGTGTTTTTAATTAAGGTTGTGCATTGTTTCTTTAGCCATATGCTACTGGCAACAGACTGCAGGATGGTGTAAACATTGCTTTCATGTGCTGGGAAACCAAGAATTCTGTGACTCCCCTTGCTGTGGTACTGGCGGGGGGCAGGGGGCGCTGCAGGGACCAAAACAATCTGCATGCTCTGACCAGTGACCAGGTCCTTCCTGCCTCGTCTGTGACAAATAGCCTTCCCTAGGCCAAGGGGCCAGACGCATCCAGACGTGTCCTCCTCTCTAAGGAAACAGTCCAAATGCTCAGAAAATGTAGTGAGAAGTGTTTCTGAATGTGAGGCTGGGAGTATTCTGTCTGTTGGACAGAACCGCGCCCCCAGCCGGCAGGGGGAAAGGAGGCCACGCCTTGTTTATGCTCAGCCACTTGCCTCCCTCCCTCCCCTCACCTCCTGTCCCTCCTCCGCCGTCTCTTTTCCCCAAAGATCCACGACTGTAACTCTGAGACAGACTCTGGTCTGTCTCTCGACCAGGATTTGACTGGCTCTAAGGCCACGTTCACCTGCTTCCTCAGGTGTGTCTGGCAGTGGGCAGGTGCACATGGGGCCCCGGTCAGTAGCCATTGGTCTGTTCTGGGCACGGCTTCACCCAGGCCGTGGCTGCTGGGCCACAGAGGGCCTCCCCTCCAGGGGTCTCTCAGCAGAGAGGCTGCATCTTGGGGGCGCCTGCTCTGCGGGCGGGGGCCCACACGGGGTGTCCCGCAGAACAGACCAGGCTCCCCTGGATTCTCCATGAAGGCTGACAGTCGGGGGCCTGGACCCCGTACACAGGACACATGCAGCTGCGGGACGCGATTGGAACAGAGCACACGCAGACCTCAGACCACTCGCAGGCCTTGGAAACAGCACTTATATTTGAGCTGGGACAAGTTTTCACTCGAGTGCATGGGGACCAGGAGTGCAGCGCTGAGGGTGGCGACCCAGCCCTCGCCGGGGACACACATATAAATACAAACACAGTGCGTTTGCTCGAAAGTGGTCCTCACACGGGGGCACCTGCCGCAGTCCCGTTGATCATAATAGTGATAACGAATTAGGAGGAAAATGAAACTGTTTTGTAAGTGATGCCACCAGAGCAAGGCAGCTCCGGCGGGCATTTTAGCACGGCTTGGTGTGTGGCTTCACACAGGGTGAGGTGGCCTCAGCCACCAGGGCTCCCCGCCACGGTCCGGCCTCTCCTTGCTCAGATGTGCCCAGGTAGGGGAGGAGGGCTTGGGCATCTCCAGGAGGTTGGCCGCAGAAGCAGGGTTCATAGAAGCTGCTCTGTTTTCTAACAAGCCAAAAACTAGTTTTCAGTCTCCACCCTCTGCATCACGGTGCGTAGGGGGGAGGCTTCTCCCTGGGGAGGAAGTGGGTGAGGGCGAAGATGGGGGGGGCATTCGGGGGGGGCCGGCAGCTGGAGCCGGGCTGGGACGGAGGCTGCACATCCTCGGACAGAGAGAGGTCGGAGCCAGGTGAGGCCGGGAAGCCACCAGGGGGCTGCAACCAAACAGAAAAAGCCTCCTCAGCCGACGGGAGCCCGGGGACGTGCCCAGAGCCACTGGCGCCCCTCAGAGCCCACCCTGGCCCGAACCCCCAGACCCAGGCCCTCCTGGTGGGAACCGCTCCCTGATCAGCGTGCATTCCCAGGGGGCTGCAGGAAGGCCCCGATTCAGCCCCACTGGGCCCCCTTCTCGCCTGTGGGCACATTGACATTCAGGTCTTGACATTCAGGAGGGTGGCTGGTGACCGCCTGACACCGGGATGCATGGACGTGCAAACGCTGTCTAAGGAAGAGGCTGCCCAGCTCATCTGGGGCCCTGGGTTTACTCAACACTTCATATTTTACAGAAAAAACCAAGAACATCAACATTTTCCACATAGTGTGATGGTGAATTTTATGCATCAACTTGGCTAGACTACGGTGCCCAGATGTTTGCTCAAACTGTCTGGATGTCATTTTGAGGGTGTTTGGTAGCCGTGATGAACACGTACACCAGCAGATCACCCTCTCCGGTGTGGGTGGGCCTCGTCCAATCAGTCGAAGAGGAAAAGATTGAGGTGCCCGTGGGAGAGGGAATTCTGCCTCCAAACTGACAAGACTCAAACTGCAAAATCTGTTCTTCCTGGGACCTCTAGCCTGTGGACTGCCATGCAGATTTTGGACTCTCTCCCTCTATATATTTATATCTGTATCATCTCTTTCTATAAATATATCTCTACCTGTGTCTACTATATGCACACATGCTATTAGTTCTGTTTCTCTGGAGAACCCACACTAATACACATAGATGCAAAAAGTGATTCTGCAAAGAGAATGTTGGGGCATGCCACAGACTTTAAATTAATAAAATTTCCAGTTTTCCTCCACCTGCCAACAACCTCTTAAATTTCTTTTCTTTTTTTTTTTAACTTCTAGAGGTTAAAAATGCCTGCTTAAAACCAACATTAAATAAAGCAAGCAACCCCTTCTGTGATGGGACACAGGCGAGTGTGTGCAGGCTCTCGTCTTCAGTGGGGCCAGGTGGTTCCTTGCTCTCTGCTCAGCAGGTGCCCAGGGCCCAGGGATGCCAGCCTGCCTGCCCCCTCCCCCTGGAGGAACCCCAGACCTCAGGCTTTGAGAGAGAATTTCCTCACAAGCCAGGGCTGTAGGGATCCAAGGGCCTTGGGTCCCTGCCCACCTCCATTGCTTTCTTTCTCTCAAACTCACCCTTCTTTCTGACCTCAGGGGACAAATGAAACCTCTAGAGAACATCCTTCAGATCTGCGGGTCCCCAGCTCCCACCAGGCATGTGTGTGGTCAGTTCTTTACCAGAAATGAGCAGCTGAGAGAACCAGGGAGTAAACCACACTGACCACGGAATAAACCAGTGGGAACCACAGAGGAGCCAGCTGGAAATACATGGCAAACCAGCAAGGATTACAGAGTAAACCACCAGGAACCACAGAGTAAACCACCAGGAACCACAGGGTAAACCACCAGGAACCACAGAGTAAACCACCGGGAACCACAGAGCAAACCACCACAGACCACAGAGTAAACCACCACGGACCACAGAGAAAACCACCAGGAACCACAGAGTTAACCACCACATACCACAGAGCAAACCATCAGGAACCACATAGCAAACTACCAGGAGCCACAGAGTAAACCACCACGGACCACGGAGTAAACCACCACAGACCACAGAGCAAACCATCAGGAACCACATAGCAAACAACCAGGAACCACGGAGTAAACCACCACAGACCACAGAGAAAACCACCAAGAGCCACAGAGCAAACCACCAGGAATCACGGAGGAAACTAGGCTCTGTCCACACAGGCAATCCCATCGCGGGGCAGACAAAAAGCCTCTTAGTTACAGGATGCGAGGTCCTTAGTTACAGGATGCGAGGTCCTTAGTTACAGGATGTGAGTTAATCCTTGGCGTGTCCTTGTCCCTGCACTTCCTGACCAGGTGGCCCCAGGAATAAGGAAGGTGGGTTTTCTTCAAAGGCGATTGTTCTTTTTTTTTTTTTGCGGTACGCAGGCCTCTCACTGTTGTGGCCTCTCCCATTGCGGAGCACAGGCTCCGGACGTGCAGGCTCAGCGGCCATGGCTCACGGGCCCAGCCGCTCCATGGCACGTGGGATCCTCCCGGACCGGGGCACAAACCCGCGTCCCCTGCATCGGCAGGCGGACTCTCAACCACTGCGCCACCAGGGGAGCCCGAAGGCGATTGTTCTTTTGACCAACTGCTCCAAACAGCCCCCAAGAGCTGCTCACTCTCTCTATTATGCGGGAGTGTTTTCTGCTGCTAATGACTGGACAGGACACTTGCAGTATCCCTTTCCTCCTCCGATGGGAAGTCAGAAACATCAATCTGTCGTTTCCCTCCTGACGAGACACATAAGCATCATTGATTTGCCATCTCCTCAAAATCTGATTATTGACGTGTATGTAATTACGCTCCTACATGTGCTGGGGATAAAAGCTGATTAGGCCCTTGTGGAGGGAGCCCAGGCCTCCTGTGGGAGGGAGAATTGGGAGCATCTGCTGTTTGTGATGAGCCAGAGGCCCGAAGGTGGGTGAGGCTGGAATACGACACCGGAAGAGAGCCATGTGTTCTCCAGCACCAGCGGTAAGGAGGGGAGACCGTGCCCGCACCCTGCAGCCCTGTCTCCTGGGGGAACAGAAGCAGGACACCTGCCAGTGCCTCAGGTCAGGACCCAGAGCAGCAGGCACCGGATGAGGTGCTGTCCTCCCGAGGTCCTCCCTGAGGCCAAGCTTGCGGGAGGCTGGTGCCAAACCAGCCAAACGCCGGGGCTCAGCCAGGAGGAAGGGCCCTGCGGGGATCATCTCTGCCCCCTAGCCACGTCCCAGAGCTGCCTGGAGTCCCCGTGTGCGGGCGTGACTGTGGGGTCTCGGGGTGGACGCTGGGAAGACAGGAGACAGTGGCCCGCGGAGCACGCCCATTCCTCAGCATCCATGCATTTCCAAGCTGGTGTTTGAGACCACAGGTGGCCAACCAGCCATGGGTCCGGCCCTCCCTCCAGCTGTGGTCTCACGTTCTGGGTTCAGCAAACTAAGCAGATGAGAGGCAGAGCACAGCCCAGGACACAGGCCATGCCCAGATGATGTGGTCCTTCCCGTGATGGGGACCAGGGAGGATGGCCCGGAGGTGGGATGCAGGTGACGTTCCCAGGGAAGACGAGGGCCGCCAAGGACGGCCACCTGGGTGTCAGGGAAGTTGGTGTACCCGCCGTGAGAAGTGACGCCACCGGGGGTTACTGGCAGCCAGCTCATTGCCTGACGCTTGGATAATTCCTTTTCATGTCTTAGAAATGGGAGGACTCTCGAGCCAGGCCCCTCCCTGACGCAGGACTCAGCCTGTGGGTCCCCGTGCGCCCAGGGCACCTGCTCGGGACTGGTGGGACGGCTAAGGGGTTGCCGCTCATCGGCAGGAGGAGGCCTCCCATGGCACAGCCCGTGGGCCACCACTCCTCGGAGACAGACGTGGCACCGCCCTCAGGCCAGGCCACCGTGGCACAGCCTCGTATGGGAATTCCAAGGCCCCCGGAGCCCTGGGCGCACAGCCACCAGCTTCACATTCACGGCAAGCGGAAGGAGCCAGGCGCGGAGAGGACGGACTTGTGCCTCCACGGGGAGGTAGAGTGGCCCCTGAATCCCCACCCAGCGGGCCTGCCCCAGGCAGGACGAGGCTGCAGGCTTTCTCAGCTCGCCACACCCGCTGCACCCCGGGGCCCAGAGACCCGCACACCCGCTTCCAGCCCCATGAGCTGTTGGGCCTGGGGAGGCCACCGCGGACCTCGCTGGCTGGGCTTGTGCCACAGCCCTGGGCAGCCAGCCGGGCCGAGTCTGCGGGTTCCTCTGAGCCATAAGGGGCTGTGGAGACAGGCACCACGCTCCCCTCAGCCCCTCCTCAAGTCTGGCCACCGCCTCTGTCCCTGAGCTGGTGGATACATACACCTGTCCTAAACAGCCGCTGGCCCTGAAAAGTTCTCATGCCCCGTCAACATCACTCCTCGGGCGCTGGGACCCCAAGCAGCAGATGAAGATGTGTGACCTCACAGCAAACGTCCGGGGTCTCAGCACCCCACCTGCCCACACACACAGATGCAGCCCCTCTGGTACCTTGACCCCGCAAACTTCCCAGAACTGCTCAGGGGCTGCTGTCATTGACACAGACCAGAGAACGTGCCAAGGCCACCGCCCCACCCCCGCCAAAACAGAGGCCGACAGGCTGTCCTGGCCAGAGGTGCTCACCTCTGCCCCCCGAGGACACAGGGCAACATCTGGGGACGTCCTGGTCACCACAGTGGCAGCTGGTCGGGCGGGACACTGCTCTATGAACAGGCTTCACCCCCGCGTGCCCCCTTCCACAGCAGCCCCAAGGCCACCAGAGTTGTACTAGGGTGAAGCCTGTGCACTTGCCGCTTTCGTGAGCGCTGGCAAGCCCTCGGCTCTACTCAGTGACTCTGCCCTGTCACAGGGGCCCGGCAGCTGGCACATCCCCGGCTGCTCTGGCCAGGAAACTGCAGCCAACTCCTGTGGGACCTGGTCAGGGGTCAGAAAATCTCAAGGCCCCGAAAGACGTGGCTGGCTGGGTCACCAGGGCCACACGGAGCAAAGGATGCCCCAAATGCCCCCGGGGATGCCGAACGTCCTGTGCAGGGCCTGGGGTCACCAGCCACATCCCTCAGTCGTCCCACCCCCTTTGCTGATCCACACCAGCTGCATCATCCCATTGTCTAAATCGGGAGGGGGAGCCATAGACACCCCCCCTTTTCCTTCAACCCAAGCCCCTCACCCCCGTGTCCCACCCAAGCTGCACTCCCTGGATGACAGCTGCCTGGGACGTGAGCACCGTCCGGCCCGGGGACGCTCGGCCTACCTGCAGGGGCAGTGGGTACGATGAGCAGGTGGGGACAGCCGGGGGCACCGGGCAGAAGCCCGTGGAGGCCAGGATCTGCTGGGCAGGGTTGTAGAGGGCCTGAGGCGCTGTGGACGGGCCGTAGGCCAGCTGGGACAGCGGGACCTGCCACAAAGGATGGAGACGTGTCAGCCGAGCCCCGCTCTGGGGAGCCCCGTCCGGCAGCTGCTCAGGAAGGCGGAGTCCCCAGGGGAGAGATTCCGAGTCCTCCCACCAGCCTCTCTCTGACCAGAACTAAAGCCCAAAAGCTGGGTTTCTTCTTGCTTTTCCTTTTCCTGTTTGTCCCGGGATCTGCCGAGAGGCCCAGCTAGGCCCAGGCTCTCTTGGGTTTTTTTGGGGAAAAGTGAGGAAACCCCATCTGTCTGCTCCAGGAGCATGTGTCATGGGCATCTCTGAGGGGCGCTGATTCCAAAGATGCCCCCGGCTCTAGTCAGCAGGGCCCTATCCCCACAGGGGTTCCGGGTGGCACAGGCCGGGGTAGGGCTCTGGCCACAGGGATTTCTAGAGAAGCACAGCCAAGACCAGATCTTCCCAAACTCCTCGAACTCCGGCTTCCTTAGCTCATGGGAGGCTCTGGTTCCCCAAAGGAAAACAGAACGTGGGCCCTGATTCTCACCCGCCCCCAGAGAGGACGGGCCGTAGGACGGACCCCTCTCCAGAGGCAGGCCAGCCACTCCCGATGGGGGGCTCGGGAGTTCCCAGACCAGAGGTGCATCCTTCCCTAAGAGTCCAGAACCTGGATCCCGCCTGACACCCACGGGGCAGGCCCTGCAGAGCCGGGAGGGGCTGTGACAGCACGGGCAGCAGCACAGACGGAGCATCTGAAAACTCATCAAAAGCCCCGGAGGTGCCAGAGCAGGGTCCTGAGGAGGGGGGAGGGCAGAGAGGAGTGCGCCAGGCGCTCCGCCCAAGAGGAGACAGCCAGGGCGGGCAGAGTCCCCCAGAGCTGCCTCACTGCCCCTGCCCTCGGGACACAGGCAGCCCAGGAAAGAGGCCCGTTGCGCTTCCTTCATGCCTCAGGCTCAGTGCTCCGTCCTTTCCTACCAGGAGCTCTGGTCTGCACGGCGAGTCAGTTAAACTCCGAGGTGTGAACAGGCAGCTTGAAAGCACAGAGAGAGGATGGAAAACTCAAGACGGGGCCCAAGCCCAGCCACCTCGATGCCTTGATGCCTTATTCACGAACAAGCACAGCTGAGGGCCGACTATGTGCGCCCCAACATGGCCCGGTACCACCGGAGCTGGGCCCCAGAGCTGCGGAGAGCGTTTCGGGCCTGAGGCCTGGCTAAGGCGATCCAGACTGAGGGGGCTGGTGAGGGTCGTGGGTCGAGGGTCCAGAGGGCGTCATGGGCTGGAGAGGAGCTGCCTGGCCTGGCTCAGCATTTCGGGGCCTGGGGAGGATGGGGTGGAGGTGTAGGGGTCTCCCAGAGGCGGCCTCACTCCGGGAACTACGGCCACTCTGCGGGGGACGCTAGGCGCCTCCCCCGGCCTTAGCTGCCTGCACTGCCTGGTCTTTCCCTGACCCCTCGTGCACCCTCTCACCTCCGAGCCTCCCATGACGGCAAGGAGACCCTAGCTGGGCCAGCAGGACTGTCCACCTGCAGCTCTCATACCTGAGGCCAACGCAGACCCTTCCTTACCCCGGCTGGGCTGTAAGCGTGGCCACATTGCCAGGGCAACCCCACCTCGGGAGACCCTCTGCAGACCCAAGACTCCACGCTCTGCCCACCCGCCCACCCAGCACCCCACGGGACGAGCCGTCTGTGACCGGCCCTCCGGAGCCCTGAGTGCCCAGAGCTTCGGGTGGCTAGCGACGTGTCTTCGTTCCTTAAGATAATTCTTAAATTATAAGATCCATTAACTTACAAGAGCATCTACTTGTAGGTGTAAAATTTTAAGGAATCACCTTGCTTGCTTCTTACAATACCCCTGAGCTCTGGGTGTAAGAGAGGAAACCGTCCAGAGCGGGACTGACACGTAACTCTGTGTCCCGCATGACAAGCGGCCTTTCTGGGGCGTTGCTACGTTCCCAAGAGAAGCTCCAGCAGTTTTATTATAAACTCATGAGCACAGGGGCCCCTTCTGGAAAAGCCGCTGGGCTGACGGCCATCCCTGGGGACAGCCAGCAGCCTCCACCCGGGCTCCCAGGGACAGGACCCGAACAAGACACTCTGTGTAGCCATCAAGTCTAACCTCGCTCTCCTTGAGAATCTGCCAAGAGAGAAAACTCTGACCTGGCCACAGCAGGAAAAGCCCCACCAAGGGACCCCACAGACCGCACTGTGGGCCCTGCAGACCCCAGGTGTCCCGGGGGCAGGCGGCCCTCGTCCTTGAAGGGCAGGATGCTTGTTGGGCGCGCACGGAAAGACACCTTGCGACTGAGCAGGAGCTGGGCCCTGCGTCTGCACCACCCAGAGTGGGAGTGGGGCAGGGGGTCACCAGGGTCTCCCGTGGTATCTCGGGCTTTGTCTGGGGTCAGGAAACCTCCAGGAAACATGTCACTGATCTCGGGAGGCTCCAGGTGAGGCTGAGAAATGTGGCCAAGGGCCACAGTCTCTGGGACAGAGGTAACAAGCCACCCCTCAGCAGTGTGGGCTGTGGATGGGGTCTGGCCTGCAGGGGTTGTTTGCACGTGCATTTGCACTGCCTCCTCATTAAAACTGGGCGATGGGCGGGTGGCTGCTCGTCTGTGGGCGGTTGTGAGCTCTTCCTGGCGTTTGTGGCCTCCTGTGCGGCACCTCCACAGATGAAGTGTCAGGTCGCGGGAGGTGCCATCTGGGCCCCGCGCGAGAACATGGCTTGGAACAGCCAGTCCCCTGGAGAGGACGCTGCCCACGGAGAGACTTGCAGGGTGACCTCAGGCACGGGTCCTGCAGCGCGGTCCCTGCCCAGGGCCGCCCAGATGCTGAAGCACGTTCTTGGGGGCTCACTTTGGAGTCACCTGACTTCGGGAAGCATGGGCCTGAGCCCCAGATCTACCGGATCGGAGGCGCTGGGGTTCCGTGCTCAGCGGGCCACCAAGGGATGGACGCGGCCGTCAGGCGCCAGGCTCGGTGCCCCTCTCTGCCGCTGAACTCGCGCTCCCTGGACCGGCTCAGGTGGTGCGGGCCTCGGGGAGGAGGGACTGAAGTGCCCCCAGGCTGCGGTCAGCACGGCTGGCGGCTCCACGAGCCCATATCCCCATCGCTGAGTCTGCCCAGTGCACGGCGGGCGCTACTCACCATGTCCTTGAAGGCCCCCAGGACGGCCGCGGTGACGACGCCCAGGAACAGGCCTAGGACGTTCAGCGCCGCCGAGGCCCAGAGCAGCCGATATAGGTGGAGCACGTCCTGGCAGCCGCGGACGCCCACGAACTCGTAGTAAGTGGGCGGGTGCTCGGTGCTGTGCAGGGAGGGGCTCAGCGTCACCCACGGCTGCAGGGGGGCCACGTAGCCGCCTGAGCCAGCGGGGCAGATGCTCCGCGTACTGATGGGCCGGGGGCTCTGCTGGGAGGGCCCAGGCCCTCAGGTGGTGGAGGCAGGCCCTGGGGGCAGGGCTGTCCCAGGGAGCCCAGAATCCACCTGGGAGGGGGCCCAGGTCTCTGAGCAGGACAGCCTGCCCCAAACAGGGGCCCCAGCAGACAGAGCACCAGCCCGGTCACCCTCGGAGCCAGCAAGGCTTAGCGGCTGCTGGCTGCCCTGGCAGAGAGCACAGAGGGGTGAGCCTCAGAGGGGGTTCGTCTTGGCCCCGTGGCCTGGTCCCCGTGGTCGTGGTCTGTGCCGGCTCTGGACCACAGCCTCGGGTTGGAAACGGGGTGAATTCCTGCTCTGGGGGAAGGGTGTTGCAGCCTACACCCCTGGGGTTTTCAACAGTTCAGGGAGGGGTCTCCAAGAAGCAAGCACTAAACTCCCTGTTGGCTTTAATGTAGGTATTCAAGCTATTAACACAAAATTTAAAAGGCAATGTGGGGAGGGTTCTGATTCCCAAAGAGCTGGGACCTTGCACTGGTCCAAACGACAGGTGAAAAGCTGGACAGACTGAATAGAGCAGCTCTTCTCGGCCCCATGGGACGGGGGAGGACACAGGGCAAACCGCCGCCCCCCGTCCCCAGACCGGAGAGACCAGCAGGCAGAGACAGGGTCTCGGCCTTCCGGGGTGGAGGCCCTGAGGGAACCAGCACCCGGGGAGGAAGAAACGGGTCACCTGTGCCGGTCACAGCCCACAGCAGGACAGGGCTCCCCGAGAGGCCTCCCCTGCCCCCCACCTCCCGGCAGCCCTGAGCCTCGGTCTTCTCATCTGTGGAACGGAGCCCATGCCCTGGCCTCACAAGGATGTGTGAGGGCTGAATGAGATGTGGGTGCAGCATGCAAGGACGGGGATGCAGAGCGGGGCGGGTAAGTCCAGGGACGTGGGGCTCGCGGCTGTCGGGCTCCCCACCACTCACCTGTGGCAGTCGTAGAGGTCGCAGCAGTAGCAGGTGTTACTCCTCACCTTCAGCTGGCACCTACCGTTCAGGGAGTGGCAGGTGACCTGTGAGCAGAGAGTCTGGTCAGGTGCCCCTGTCCTCAGCCCAGAGCGGGCAGGGGCCTCCCTGGGGGTAAGGACCCACCACTCTGCCCCATCAGCCAGGCAGCTGCCTCCCCTGAGCCCATGTTTCTTGACCTGCCCCTTCCTCCCCCCAGTCCAGGTGCAGCAGGGCTGGGGGGCGACAGGGCCCTCCCTGCAGGCAGAGGTAGAGGACCAGGCGGCCAAAGCTCGCTGGACGAGGTGAGGGAGGGGGGAGTCCCCAGGAGCCTGCAGGTGGGGACCCCTCAGGTGGGAGCCCCTTCCTGACCTCCCAGAGGACAGCTCCCGGCCGCCCAGTCTGACCAAGCCAGCCCTTCCCCAGGTCACACGGAGGCCTCCCCTCCTTCCCCCGGCGCTTTTTAACCACCCCCATGTGGAAGGTAAGTGGGGCAGAGACCACCCGGCTGCACAGAGAGGACGGGGACCCTGCGGAGAGGGCCTTGGGGGGAGGGCCGTGCGCGAGTGAGGGCAGACGCTTGAGCAGGCTTGGGGTCGCCTGAGAGGCCAAGCGCCCGGGGCAGGTCGGGGGCAGGGCCTGAGCCCAGAGGTCCCCCCGGCCCCTTTAGCGGCACCTCAAGCCACCCTTGGGCATGTAGCCTTTCTTTCAGGGTTCTGTGGGTAACTCCCGAAAGCCACCCACATCAGGAGTGGGAGGGCTTGAGCAGGGGTCCTAGAAAGATTAATCTGGGAAAGCAGTCCCGACGGGGCAGAGACCAGAGACAGGCTGCTGGGAGCCATGGAAGTGAGTCCGTATGACTCAGGCCTGCAAGGGGGCTGGGCGGACAGCCCGACAGGTGAGAACCAGGGCTCAGCGAGGGGGCAGGGGAGCAGTCAGGGCACCGCCGGGCTCTGAGCCTGGCAGCCAGCACACGGGAAGGTCGGAGCCACAGGACGGCGAGCTGGAGGTCGCGAGACCTAACCCTGATACTGACCCGAGGTGCCCCCTGCTGGGAGGTGTCCCTCCCTCCTGGGAGGTGTCACCTCTGTGAGCCCAGTACCGCTCGGAACACACTAGGGTGAGCAGGAAGGAAGGACAGAGCAGCACGAGGGCCTGGGGGGCCCGGTGACCCCCGCTGAACAGGACGAGTCCCCAGGGCTCCCTCCGCCAGGGACAAAGTCCAGGAGCACAGGCCGGGCCTTTGGAGAAGGGGTGTGCCGCCCCCTGTTGAGGGACAGTAACAGAGGCCCCTCCTCCCCCGCCGCCAGCCACGCCGCCTCAGCCACGGCGTCTGCTGCCCGCCCTGTGCGCCTCCTGCCTGACATTTGTGCACAGAGTCAGAGGCCATGTTTAGTGAAACCGATAAATCTACACAGAGCTGAGTGAGATGGCAGGACAGAGGGAGCCACGCAGCCACCTGGGATGGTCCAAGAGGAGACGCCGGCCACTCTTAGAAACAGAAGTGAAATCACCCTGCAGACATCCTCGGCTCAGGGACAGCCGGCGAGTTTGGGGCCAGTGTAAAGGTAGCATCCTAGATTTTAGTGCACTAATTACGTCAATAAAAAGCTCATCGTGAAAGCCGCACAGACTGGACCGGTGGATTCGGGGCTGCATCAAAGGCAGTCGGCAGCTGTGACTCCGGAGTGAAGCGCCTCACCAGGCGCAGGTGAGGACGACGTGAGGGCGTGCTGGGGCCAGAACAGTCAGATCTGGACCAGGGACACAGGGTAACAAGTGGGACCAGCGCTGGCACTTACCTCCGTCTGGTAGACGTCGTGCAGGTAGCCGACCCCACTGGAGTAAAACTGGCACCTTCCTGCGGTGAGGGGCCTGGGCTCCTAGAGACCAAGAACCACAGATGGAATGGGACGGCTTTACCCCCATATTAGGAGGGATCGGAGGTGATTTCAGACCTGTCACCGCAGGCTCTGAGCCCAAAGGAGAGAGGCCAAGGCCAACGAAGCCCTCCCAGGCGGAGTACAAAGAGCAGGAGGTACCAGGGCTCATCCCAGAGCAGCTGGGCTCCTGCAGCCAGGAAGCAGGGAAGCAGGCGCCCCATCCCTGCCGGCCAGGGGACACAGCTCCGCCCATTGGTCAACACAGGGCAGCTGAGGGAGGTGGTCGTGCTCCCGTACCAGTCTCAACAAGGAGACCCCCTGGCTCCTGCCTCTTTTCCTCAAAGCACAGCAATTTTTCCACGAGGGAGGGAGCAGGGTGGGTTTCAGCCTAATCTACTCATCCATCCAACCAGCCAATCATCCACCTGATCACTTACTCATCTATGTATCCATCCCTCCATCCATCCTTCCATCCATGCATCCAAGCATCCATCCGTCCTTCCTTCCATCCATCCATCCATCCACATCCATCCATCCCCCTCTCTCCATGCACCCATCCACTCACCAACCACCAGAGAGTACCTTCACCTATGTGCCTATCCAACTATCCATCCATGAGTCTGTCCCCGACATTCATAGGGCAGATGGTGCCAAACCATACGGGCACCCGGGTAAGACAAGTTCCTGCCCTTAGGGGATTAGTGAAGGAGAGAGACCAATAAACTGACAATTAAAACCTGCTTATCATCTGCATGGTAGTGAACAGCAAGGGCACACGTGAAATGCCATGAAGCTGCCTAATCTGTAAGTTATGAGTCCGGGTCCCGATAACTCTATTTAGATTTTTTACTCTGTCAGTCATATTTCTCAAAGCATTCCT